CGCCGTGGTCCTTCGCGCCCAGGCCGCCGCCGTGTTCGTCTGGGGAGCTCAGCTCAGGGCCGGGCAGTCTCTTGGGGCAGCGGAAGCGCAGGTGCGCCGCGTAAGGGAACTCGAACTGGAAACGCTGGCTGCATTCCAGGCAAGTGTAAGGGGACGAGCCTGCAGAGCCAGCAAACGCCACACACAGACACGCGAAACGCCACATGGTTACTGAGGTTCGCCCCCCACCCTGGCCCAGTTTCCACGGACCCCTCCTTCACAAACCCACCCTCCCCTCCCAGGCGGGGCCTGAGTCTGTGAGACGTTTTCTGCTGATTTGGGGGAGCAAACTTGATTAAGCTAAGTGTCCCTGCGTCCCCCTCGATGTATCCTCACTGATATGCCCAACTGCATGCCAGCTGCAGCCACACGGAGAAAAGGCGGGGGCCTGTGGTTGGGGTCCCCCGTCGCCGCCCCCCCTTCCCCGCACCTCCCACTCAAGTGATGGGCCCCACCAGCCAACCTACCATTCATTTTGCCGTGGGATCGAGAGGGGCAGAGCAAGAGCAACTCAGTCAGTTCTTTCCCGTACCAAACGAGTAACTCTTCGTCTTTGGCAATTCTGCGGAGGGAGCGATAAAACAGCTGTCCGTTTTTGATGTAGGCTTCAAGGTTCTGTTCTTCTTTATCTCTGGCTGATTGGACCAGACGCAGCCACATGAGACCTTCTGAGGAACCATTTGCCGCCGAGGTGTCCACCTACAGTTTACAGCAGAGAAGAAGGAAGAAGGGGAGGGGCGGGGAGAGGAAGGGCGAGAAGGAGACCTGTGTGAGGAAATGAAGCCAGAGAAACCAGAGCCCTGTCCCAGGAGCTCCAGCTGCCAGAAATCTGGCCACGTTAAGACCCAGCCTCGCGTTTGCCACCGGTCGGCAGGGTGGACATCCTCGTGGATTGTTGAGACATCGTTCTTATGTACTGTTTGAAAACCAAATAAGCAAGTTTCTTCTTACACTCCCAAGACACCTTGGTCTCTTGGCATTTTCTTTTAAAATTATCCCACATTACAAAAGCGTGGATGGGAGGGAGGGGGTTTGCTTACTTTGTAAGGAAGGAAAATCAAGCTTAGATTTTACGAACTACCCTGTGAATTCCCTATTCCTAATTTTGCTTTTTCTGAAAGTAAAGAAATAGCTAATGAGAGGCTTTCTTATCCTTAAATTTAATCCTGTGGATTCAATACACTCTGAGGTCAAAACCATTAACATTTTGATTTAAACACAAACTCTGGGCACCAGCTCAAGTTACCATGGAAAGTTGCCCCCAGACCTTTTAGGTTGGAAGGCCAAAGTACCTGGTTTTAGAACTTCGAATACAAATAGCCCCTACCCCCCATGAAATCTCCCAGAGCTAAGAAAGTCAAATGTCCCTCCTGGAGGGAAGTCCAGCATGGAGGTTTAGTGCATTCCAAATGAAACATTGTAACCCATTCTAGAAAATGAGTGGCTACTAATTTCAGCACAGTTTTCATTTCCTAGAGCTCTTAGCTTGCACCCTTGCATTCCTACTCTCAGAATTCACCCCAGCTTGTTAGAACAATGACTCTTGGTCCATATTCAACAGAACTTTACTTTCATACACCTACACAAAATGGGGCAAAACTTACCCGGAAGATATAAGGAACTGTTCTCTTGTCAGTAGACTTAAGAGCTATGAAAGCTATGCTGTCGTATAGGGAAGTGTGGCTCAGGACACAAGGACCAAATATAGCATTCTCAGGGATGTCACAGGTGGTATAAACGCTGGTAAAAATATCTGTCAGACATTGTTGGACAGCCTTGGCATCTCCATCCCAGATACCTCGATGGATGCTCAAATCTTCCATTACTGGAGACAGATACACAGACAACAAACATATTTTACTACTCCTTCATGAATACAAGAAATAGATTTTAACTACTAAAACATTCTTTTCCTTGAACTGGCCTGATTTTTATATACTCCCTGTTCCAAGAGGAAAGCGAGTGGCAAATCTGCTATCTTTTAAAGATGCCAACTAGGGGCTGTGTTCTTACTTTTGTTTTTGATATTTGGAATAGGGATTGACTGCTTGGGAGAAAGAAGGGAAGGGAGAGAGGAAGGGAAGGAAATCAACCAGTATCACCTGGGCAGAGGATGGGCTAGCTTTTGGGGGTTAATGGTGAACAGTATGATTTTTTATACTACCTTGACTAAAAGAAACTTCAGACGTGTGTGTGTGTGTGTGTGTGTGTGTGTGTGTGTGTGTTTGAGGGAGTGGGATAAGAAGTTCTCTCCTCTCTTCTTGTGAGTATGTCCCAGGAAGGACCAGGCAGTATTTTCTTCTCTGGTACACACAGGTTCCTATGCGTCTGAACCCACTCAATGGCACCTAACAACAACCACAATCTCCTCTCTGCTTTCCTGCTCTTCTGTCCTATGTATTGAACTGGTGCCTTAGAGCTGACACACCCCCCTCCCCTTCTTCCAAAGAGGGGAACAGCATTAGGGAGCAGGCGGAGACAGCAGAGCATGGCGAATGGATTTCAAGTGGAGTGTCAGGGCCACTCATTCCATGTCAGCTAACCTTTCTTTGCAGCCTACAAGAGGGGATGTATGTCTTCTCATTATCATAATCCACAGCACTGTCCCTTGGAGGCTTTAATTAAAAGCAGCAAGCAGAGGTAATTATTTTTTTCTCGACATGCTTATTTATGGATGAGGGTGAATCCCGGTTACCTTGTTATACAAGGGAGTAGATTGAGTCGCATTGGTCCACGGAGGGATCAGGTAGGTACAGGGGGGGCCAGACGTGTCCCCTGTGTGCAATGACTGGTGAATTCGACCTCCCTCAGAAGCCTCTGTCTCAGTAAGAGGGGGCAGCCCTGCTTGAATAGTCCACAGTGGGCCCTCCAGCTGTTTAATCCACAGCAATTTAGAAAGTGATGCTCCAATGGAGGGCTCTCTATTAAGCTGTCAGAAAGGGATATTTCTCTGCCTCTTTCCTGGGACACCCGCTAAAAGACTTAACATTAAAAAACCCACAAAAAACAAGCAAGCAACAGCCAGCCAGACAAACACACACAAAGGGCAGATATTTTCAAACTGGCTTGGAACTCACTGAACATTCACTTTGACTTATCCAGAGCTTGCCCTGACAGTGTTGTCATTGATAGCGATTTGTGCATATTGTGTACAAGTCACAGGAAAGAATGGACCTGCTTCTTTTCCTGAGGAGCTGTTCTTTTTGTTACTGTTAGTAACATCCATTTTATCGACATGTTTGTGAACCGATTCATCTTGCACATGTGGTTTCAAGGCAGTGGGCTGTTCGGTCTCCAGCTATCAGAGACTGGCACTTTGCTTCATCTCTTTCCATTCTCTCTGCCGCATCCCCCAAATGTCAACTACTGGGTTGTGTCTTCCAAACCGTGGAACTAGAACCCCACAGGGGTAAAAACTTACTTTATCATGCGACTGCACCAAGAGCTGGGCATTTTAACCCTACACATGGTAGGTAGCTTTGCTGCCTGTCGACTGCAGATAACATGCAATGAAAAGCAACAACAGCAACAAAACTTCCAGACCTCTCGTCACCGGTTCAACAGATCCTATGCCTCCCCTTTTCAGTTTCTTCCAATTCAGCGTTTTAGGCTCCAATTTCTCTCTATCTTTGAAAGTCTCTTTCACACAAGCGTTTCATTGTGCGGGAGGTCGCCCGTCACTTCGGGCAACAACAGGGACGCGGTCATTAAAATGCAGTTTCACCTAACAATACGGAGGAGAAGAGGTCCTCGCCCCGCCGCCCGAACAGAGCTCGGCTCCGCGGCGGCCCGCGCCGCCCCTGACTCGCGCGGGTCACAATAAGCCCCCCCGGGGGGGGGTCCCCAGCGCGCTGGCAAGAGCCCGAGTGCGTCCGTCCTGCGCAGTCGCCTTCACCGCTCGGCCACCGGTCTAGCTCCTCGCCCGTCCTCCCCGAAGCGGGGTGGAGGGCATCCGCTCCCGAAACCGGCGGGACTCACCGAAAACCCGAGGCTGCCACGACCCGTCTACCTCCCGGCGCAGGCATTGTCTGGTGGCCGCGCGCTCCCGGGCCGCTCGCTTCTCCACCAAAGTGTTCCCCACCCGCTCCTCCTTTTGTGTCATCTAATTGGTAGTACAGATCCCCTTAATAATTACTTTCCTCTTTTGCTGGAAAATGAGAAGGGGAGGGGGTGACAATCTTTTCCACTCTCCTCACCAAACCTGCCTTCCTCCCATCCCCCTCCCGCATCAATGCAAATGGACTTACCAGGAATAAGGTCAAGATCAAATCGCTCAAATAGGCCACCTGGTATTCCGGAGAAGCAATCGCCTGTCCCTTTTTGCCTATTGTATCAATGTATTTCCATGTCAAGAGGTGTTGGGGTGGCTGTCGGGTAGGCTCTGCGTAAAGAGAGATGGAGAGATGGAGAAATGTGGAGGGGAGGGGGGGAGAAGCAGAGAGAGTTGTACAGATGGACTCGATGCAGTGACTGACTGGCACGCAGACACACACTTTTTGTTTGCTGCACATAATCTGCCCAATGACGCGTGACAGCCCACGTCCCCTCCCTTTAACTCTTTGCTGGGCTGGGCGCTGCCTCCGGCGCCGCCTGCCTCCGGCGCCGCCTCCCGGGCCTGCGGGCGTTCCCGCAGGTCCGGTTCGCCTCCCTGGGTGACAAGGCCTTTCGGAGCGTCGCCGGGCACAACCCCCCACCCCCCAAAGCTCTGTCCCGCGGAGACTCTTAGGAGTAGGAAACCCATTTCCGGATCGAAAAAGAAGGTACCTAACAGGCTGCCCACAGCCCTTTTCTGTTTTGCTAGGCACTTGGAAAACCTCTGGCCAGGGGCGGGCCACCCACTGCGCGCGGACCTCCAGAGCTGTCCGGAGTGAGTTCTGCAAAGGAGGACAGGAGGGGAGGCAGAGGGGTCAGGTTTAGCCCCGGGGAAGTCACTGACCACTGGCCCGTCGCTGTTTGGCCCGGCGAGTGATGAACAGATGCCAGCCTTGTCCAGGGGCGCCCACCCTGCCAAGCAGCCCCTGGGCAAGATTCAGGAGGGGATGCACTTTGCAAGGAGTCGGGCTCCGTCTTCTTGTGGACCTGGAGGGTGGGGGCCGGGAGGGCGGGGAACGGGGACTCCGTCGCACCTTGGAAGGGTCCCAGGAGGAGGATGGCTGGGCTAGGCTTAGGGGGGTGCGGAAAGCCCGGACTATTGGCCTCAAGCTGTTGCTGTTCTTCCACCCTCTGCCTGGGGCGTTCTGGGCGGGGGGTGTCCCAGGATGAGGACCACCGAGACTACAAGATCTTGGGGTGAGGGGCATGGGAGTTCAAAATAAAAGAGATTACTGAGATGAGCTTCGAGAGCTTTTCAGGTCCTAGCGGTGGGGGAGAGCGGGATGGAGTTGCCACCACTGACCGAGGCCTCTCGTGGGCGCACTAAACCGCTCAGAGGCTCTCGCTCGCTCGCCCCTCTGGTGCAGCATCTGATGCTAATGCCTGGAGGGTCTTTAACAGCCCCGAAGTGCCTGCTTCAACAGAGAGGGCAACACATTTTCGCTAGGGGATCCCCAGGCTCTCCCTCTGAGGCTCGGTTCTCCACTCCTGTGGGAGGAAAGGCCTTGGAGTGGGAGAGTCGCCCCCATCCCTCCTGCTCCACCCCCTACATCCCTACATCGAAGTGGACAATCTGTCAGCTTTAGAGGAAATCGGATTGTGTATCCCGCCAAACTGGACGAGGCAAGAGCCCTGATTTAAGGATAAGACTGTCTCATTACCCTTTGCCACGCGGGATTGAAATAAGGTGAGTATACGAGTGATTGGTAAGGAGGAGATTAAGAGAACAGGTTGCCCACTGAATTAATCTGACCTTCGGGAACCAATGGGATCTCTTCCTTCCTCGTCCCCATCTGAGGTCCTAGAGAGACCAGGGAGATTTGGCCGCGGAGAAAGAGGGCATTTCCCGTGAGGTCTCTGCTCTTTGCGCTGATTCTCTCTGCTCCCCTCTGGTTTCCGCCCAACCTGCCTCGGCCTCCCGGCAAGTTCCCACCCTTCTCACGGGACAGAGCCAGCTGCTTACCTAAACTGGGCTTCTGGGAAGAGAAGGATGCAAATCCCCCCTATAGCATGGAGGACGGATTGGTGCTTTCTTCAATTCTAGGCTGCCTTCGGACTTTTCAAAGACAGCTGCTTAAACTTCGGTTTCCCTGTCATCCTGCATTATCATTTCTCTTTTACATAGTTGTGCAGAGCTAAGCTAAGGGCAATCCACCAAGTGACCAAGGCTTGGTGTCAGGGGAATTCTTACATGTCCGTGTCAAAGCATCTGCAGCTGTAACTGACTGCCCCTTGCCTTTTGGACTGGCCTCCTCAGAGAGGGCCTGCTCTGTCTCTTTAACAAAGGAAAGCATCCCTCCCCCACCCCAATTGTCTGAAGAAAGAGGCAAGGGGATTAGAAAGGCCAAAAACTTTGTCTCCAAAAAGAAGAAGGGTGGAAGAGCCAGCTACTGAGTGGTTCCCAAGATACTGGAGGCCTGCCTCTAAATGACAGCAAGTCAAGGAGGGGGAGAACCCTAACACCTGTGGCCCTGGGACACTGCCACCTAGTACAAGTGAAAGTGTGTTTGGGATGGTAAAGAGAGCAGAATTCTATTAATTGGTTGGCCAGAATATGCTTTGGTGTCTTCTCTTGCTGTTGTTATTTCAAGAATAAAAACTTTGCCTCTTCCAGGAAAAGTCACAGGTTTCTATCGCCCTCTGCCCTTTGCATGACTGCAAAGATAAATGGGCCCAATCCATAATGCAGTCATTCAAAACACCTTGAACTCTACATAGGAAGCATTTTTCTTTTGCCTGGCCTTTCCCTTGTTCAAAGTTGACGCATTTAGAGGTACCAGCACCTAGGCTCCTATTAGGATAAAATAATGTTTTCTGGAGGAGGTCAACCTTCCAAACTGAGAAAGAGCTGACTCACAGAGAGGAGAAGTTTATCAAGAATCTGGTCCTCTGACAATGTGCTGTTGCCTCTCAGTCTCACTTTTCTGCCCTTTTAATGAGAGTTTTCCCTCTTCTGTTTTCAGACAAAAGACCCTAGGCTAAACAATGTAAAGCATCTTATGAATCCTAAGAACTTTTTGTCTTATAAGTTAAATGACTGAAAAAGAGCACACACACACAGAGCAAGAGTAGCTCTAAAGTGCCCATTTGGGGGATTTTGCAGTGTTCTAAGTGGAACACTTCTTGCTTAGTCTAGATGACAGTTGCTGATGTATGATCAGGAGAATCTACAAATTCTTTTTATTTCTCTAAGAATTTATGGGCGAAAATGGTACATAAACTACTTTGAAATCACTGCAGTTTTAGGGACTGGAACTCACTGGTACTAAATGAAAGGCTGAGACACTTATTCAGCCTCAGACATGACTATAAAAATGCACCTCAGTCAGTCGTTGTATCTAATTCACATGGAACAATGAGTTTATGCATATATTTGAAGTTCTTGTCTCTGAGATTTTATTTCCAATTAAAGGACTAGAGGGGTGACAATGAAAAATGAGGAGATGTTCACCTTGTTCTACTTTATAAGGCTTCTTGCACTCACAGTTTGGAAAAAAAAAAGAAGTGTGAGCAACTGCATTATTGTTTTGAAGAGTTTGATGAATGACTCCCGAGGTAGTACATTTTATGACCTAAGTGCGAGGGTGGAGAAAGATAAAGACAAGAAATTTCCTTTATCACAGCATGAGGATGGGAATGTCTTTCTCCTCTCAAGGCAGAGAAGTGGGGCCCCAAATACCTTCACTTCTGTGGTGGGAGGCTGGAGAAGTCTCTAGGAAATGATTGAGAAGGCTTATTGTGTAAGGAGGAAAACATTTGTTTCTCTTCCTAGGCCCTAGTTCATCTCTCTCTCTCTCTCATCCTAATTCCAAAGCAACACACCAGCAAAAGCTTGGTCATCACAAGAGAAAGACAATTCATGGTGAAAGCAGAAAAAAAATAACAAAAACCCCTCAAAGACAAGAGGATGCCAATCAAGCAGCCTGCGGAAGCTTTCCCTTAAGCTTATTAATTTCCCTTGGGGAAGTCAGTGGAAGGGACTGTGAGAGCTGGAGGAGGGAGAGAGCAAGAGTGCATTGCACTTTCTAGCCACACCATCCAGGATAAGGATCCTCAAAGGGATGTATTTGCCTTGTACATGGAAGAGAAACAGAACTATTGGTGGGTTCATGGAGGTGAACAACAGCGGGTATGCTAACAGTGCTTCTATTCATTTCATGTTACTTTGCCTACAGCAGAAAAATGTTACTTCATTATTTGTTTCTTAAATAGACAGAGTGAGAGAGAATCTGCTTCTGGCTTTTCTAACATCTTGATGAGTAAAGAAGCAAAGAGTTGCTGAACTGGATATAGGTTTACAGGGCAGAGGGCATTTAGTTTCTTCTAAGTTCACATGGCAAGCCCAGGTTTGATGGGTTCCTCCCCATAAATATTGTGGCCGGTTCATTGGGTAAGTATTTCGGGGGCTGACCTTGAGAGAGTCAAAGATCTTGGGGCAGACAGCATGTTAGCCAGTGAGGAGGAACTCCAGCTCTGAAATGCAGGGATACTTTCTCCATTATGTTCTGTGTTCCTTCTTCTTCAATAAAAGGTAACTGATATTGAGGCTAATGCTGCCTCCACCACCACTACCTCTCTCGTTGTGGCTATAATCTGCCTTTCACAAAGTTATAACCTTTGAGAGATTCTAACTTTCACTTGCCCTTGTTAGAACTGGCCAGCATTGGAGAGCTTTCTTTCAATCAGCTTCACCTCAAAATCTGGGTTGTAGTCAACTGGTGGAATGATTTCTGAGTATGAGCTCTGTTAGGCCTAGTAACCTGGGGTGTAACCATCACAGATCTGAAACCAATGCTTCATCCCAACCCGTGTAAGTGTGATTTGTGGATCACAATAGTCAGCATCCCAACTCTCTGGAGGGATGCTCTCCATTTTCCCACCTCTCCCCAGATCAATGCCTAGTGCTTTGGCAAGTCTTGTTTTCTTTGAAATCCACAAGTTGAAATGTCCCTCACAGACTCCAGAGACCATAACCTTGAACCCATCTTAGTACCAGGGTGGGTGGGGAGAAGGAGATGGAAGCAGTGTCACAGTCCGCCAACTCTTCATCCTCTAGCAAAGCTGAGGACCTTGGATTCAAATGGAAGAGGGTATGAGATAATGAAAAGACCAATGCAGTGCATGAAAATGTTGCTAAAAAGGCTCTACATCATATTCCTTTATACACCAGGAGAAGGAAGATTGCTTCAAGAATCAGCACGTGAGTTCCACCTACCCCTTGTTTTTCTCGGTGTAATTTGAAAAGTGAGTTGAAAAGAAAGGTAATGATTGGCATACAGAGGTTACATCTGGGTAGACTTGCTTCCCTAGACCCTGATCCCAACTAGTCTTCTGAGATGTGAAATTGGACTGGTG